GTCCTTCTTGGCAGGGATTCTCTTAGTGCATTTTCTGCTCAATCTATATTTGTGCTTGGGTTTGTCCCAAAATAGATAAAAGACTTTGTACTTGGTCTTGCTGAACTTAACAAGGTTTGCATGGGACCACCTCTCAAGCCTCTCAAGATCCCTCTGGATGGCAGAGAGTCCTCTTCTGGGGACCCTTCTCTCCACAGTGTCGACTGCTCCACAAACCAAGTTTCTGTCTCAAGGTAAACCTGTTGAAGGTGCACTGAAACACAGTGTCTGTGTTTTCAGCAAAGATGCATAACAGCACCAGTTCAAATACCAAATCCACAGGAACAGGAACACCACTTGCCATTGTTCTCCACTTGGACATTGAGCCATTGGCAGCAACAATTTGAGTGTGGCTATCCAGTCAATTCCACTGGGCTATCCCTGAAATAAATTTTTCTCCATCTTAGGGACCAGGATGTTTTGTGAGGCAGCTCCAAATGCTTTGCACAAATCCAGGTAGATAGGGTCAGTTGCTTTCCCCTTTTCCACCAGTGCTGCAGTCCTGTTGTAGGAGGCCCACGAGTTTGCCAGGCACAATTTGCCATCTATGAATCCATGTTGAGTGTCACTAAGCACATCCTTATTTTCCAAGTAGCATGCTGACCAGGAGGCTCTGCTCCATGGTCTTACTCAACATGGCCTGTAGTTTCCTGGAGCTTTCTAGTTTCTCTTTTAAAAATAAGGATTTTCTTGCTCTTTTCCAATCAGTGGGTATTTTGCTGGTCTCCCAAATATGATAGATAGTGGTTTAACCATTTCACCTGCCAGTTCTCTTTGGACCCATGGATTCATCTCATCAAGTTCCACGAACCTGTGCATTTTGAAGCTCCTTAGATAGTCTCAAACCTGATCTTCTGCAAAATTGAGTTGTTGTCCATTCTCCCAGGTCTTTGTCCATTCTCCCAGGTCTTGCCTTTGCCTTCTTCAGCTCAGGTGTGTGACTGGCTCTCCATTTTCAGAATTATTCTGTTCAGTTCATAGTGTGTCTCCTGGCAGCTTTGCCTCCTAGGTTTGTGCAAAATCTTTTGGAGGCTTACTATGAAGTTGAAGTTGCCACTACCACAATCATTATCCACCTGTATCTCATATAATTATAATTTACACTATTGAATTCTCTGGAGATAAAATTAAAATAGAGCTTTTATAATTTCTTTTCCATCTCACGCTTTTGTTTTTGTTTCCCACCATCTCTTTAACAATCCTTTTTCCCAGGAGAAAACTTGCTATGTCCTCATGCTTCCAAGAGACTGTAGATCAATAAATTCAGAGTTAATTGGTAGGTGGGAGTTTCCAGATGTTTATATGCTTGCCCAAAAAGCTGTCCACTGGTAGCAAATGAACAGCTGGAAAGATACAATCCATAAAAAGCGTTTTTTAGCTGATTGACATATGTCTAGAATGCATGGTGTATTTGAGAAAAATGAAATTGAAATTAGGAACAGTTTGGACTGAGTCCTTCATTATCAATAATTAGTCAATTAGAATTTTTGTTTAAATTCCGATATAATTCACAAGCACTGTACTGAGTGAGTCATTACCACTCATAGAAATAATGCATTGCTTTCACACTATCCTTATTCAAGATATATGTTGAGAAATGTTCATACTGCTGAACATGGGCAATTCAAAGGGGATGGTTGGTGCAAATGTTTTGTAATGGAATATGAAATCTCCCACCCAGAAGCCATGTTCACACCCAGACCAAACAGCTGATGGCAAGTGAGTAGTTAAGCTGAGCTACTTAGGAGTTTACTATGAAAAACTTTTTTTTTTCCCCTCAGTGAAATAAGTGGTTCTGTACACAATCATGAGGTTCAGCAGGGAAAATTGATTGTTCTGAAATCGTGTTCCATCTGGGAAATCAAAATGAAAAGAAGAAAAAAAAATATACAAAAACAAAACACTTTTTTTTTCTCATTTTCTTTTCTCTAAAAAAAGCCCCAACATAGCTGCTCCATATGACATTATTTCAAGACTCAGTTGGTTAGAGGGCTGTATTCCATAGTGTTTACCTGAGTGTCTAGTGTTGTGTTTTCTAAGCAACATTTTCCAGGAAGGAAGAGCCCTTTGGAGGGGTCATATGGAGGCACATTGAAAGAGGTAGTCTGGGAAAAGTAACACCTGAAAGAGGTTTTTTGGTTGTCTTTCCATTCAACATCACAATACAAAGCAGAGATCAATTTTGATGTTTCAGGGAGGTGGGCAGGGTGGTGTAAGAAAGAGTATTGCTTTTCATGCTAATGCACAAGAAGATGAAATATAGAAATTATTGCAGAATGGAATAATAGACATGTATTGTTTTATAAGAGGGCTCGTGTTTTTTGAAAAATACTATTTTAGCTGATGGCTAGTGCTGCATATGTGCCTTATAGAGCAATCTTGTGGTAAGGAAAGGGAAGACAAGAATTCCCCATAAAATGTCCTTTTCAAGTTCAGGTTTGAGACCTACTATGAAGATTAATCTCTATTTCATTTGGCCACTGCTGGGATGGAACTTCTTACTGTCTCTAAGCCACCAATTCTTACTTAAAGAAAAAAGATATTATTTTTCACAAGAATATTACTTTTTACCCAACATGTGTGGGATAGATTGTAATTAGTGTGTGTCATATATGAATGAAAAGGGTAAAAGAAACACTTCCACAGAGCATACATTTTATCTCTGGAAAATAAGAGGGTTTTTTTTTGTCGGATGATATGAGAAAGTAGATCTCTTCAATTTCAAAGTCTTTTAATCCACAACACTGTGTTTGTTATACCAGTGATAATTGGATGCATTCTGAGTACTGCTTTGGGGAGTTTGGTACTTCTACCACTTTTGACAACAGGTTTGGAGAGAACTTAATGGAGGTTTCTCCCTGCTGAGAACTTGCCTCCACACACACACACACACACACACACACACACACACACAGGGTGGATGATTTTGGGAGGAAAATTTCCACCTTCAGAGAAGAGTTGTCTTCTGCTTACTTGGCCTGAATTACAGTCATGGTACTGTAGGAGCTGCAGGACATTGTTGCCCTGAACTGTCATCATGGCAATCACAATGAGGAGGAAAATATAGCTATCATTATAGGAGCTTTACACTGCATAGTTTATCTCTATAACAGTGTGCTATGATGTGGCTAATTAGACTGTATCAGCTGCTCCACGTCTGCTGCTAAAGGGAGACTTTCTTATTGTGTCTAGTAAACAGAGAGCTCTCAGCCTGTGATTTAGCACTGAAATTAAATTTGAGCATAGTTTTCCATTCGATTATCAGGCTATGGGTGACTTTTAAGGATCCTTTTCAATCCATTACTTCTGCTAGCTGTAAACTCTCTGCCACAATTTCTTCCTCTTCTTTGGTGGACAAAGACTAACTGACAACTCACCCATTTAAAGTTAGAGGGGAACAAATCAAAATAATTACAAATAGGCAAACTTTTGATGATGTTCAGTCTCCTTTTTTTGATTGTCACCTTCTGCGTCTGAATCTCAATTATTGAGACATAATAAATATGATTGGCTTGAATAGGCAGAAAGTAACAAGACCTCCAGAAAGTAATACAGGACAAGAAATAGTGAAATTTTTTTCTTTTTCTTCTTTTTCATGCCATATCGGAGCTTCCTTTTGAGAAAAGTAAGGTGACTTCCACAGGATAATCTTTGAGGAAGAAATATGCAAATTTATAGGAAAAAAAGTCCTATTTTCTTGTACGCACTAATCTATTAAGAGCATGTAAAAGTATGTATTTCTTCAGTAATATTATCTAAGGAAACGATTTGGAAAAAACAGTGAACATTGCATGGACAAAATGCTCACAGTGGCAATCAAAGATGAAAAGAGGTTTACAGTCTACTCTTTACTCACCTGTTATGTACTTTATATATTCTTGAGGAGAGGGTAGGAGGGTCAAGATGAGGTTATGGGACTTGTTTGTTTCTTTGGCAGTTTCTCTGTACTTGTGCTGCCCTTTAAAGGCATTCTCAGTTTGAGGTACATGCTGCCTGAACCTTGAAAGATATGATACCTCCATTTCAAGGAGCTGGAGATATTCTGTGGTAATTTCAGAGAAAATGTCTTCTGCATAACAAGCACTTTTTTTTTGCTGCAGGAACTGGCAGGTTTTCAGTATACTGCAGTAAGAAGAAATAATTTGATCACATCAGACACACAACTGGACTAAAATATTGCAACATCAACCAGTTTTACCAGAAGGGAAGCATAGAGGTGGGGAACGAAGCCACAGCAGGGTTCTACTTTGACAGGGCTTCAGGCTTTGTAGTTGATAAGTTAATCTTTGGAAGAATCAAAGATGTAGACCATTGGTTTATCTCTGAAGTTCAAGTAATCTGTGGGTCAGGGATGTTTTGGAGTGACTTTTTGGACTTTGGCATGATTGTGTTTATGACTGGAATCCAGCGAGTCCTTGAGGCAGACAGTGCAGGGAGGTGGCTTTCTGGTGTGATGCAAAAAGAGCAATGAGTTTGTGGTGCAGGTCAGGCTAAACAATAGAAATTTTCCTCTGCAGTAGGAAGTTCCAAGTCCTTGTCTGCCCTTTTCTTAAAGCACTTGGTACAAAAGAAAGGCATGAGATCTTTCAGCATATGGCAGCACAAGGCTTCTTCTCAGTGCTGCTGCTGGAGCAGGAATGGGATCTCATGCCCCACCTTGACATCATGTGGAACCTTTGAGATCCCTAATCCTGTGCAGCCTTCTGTAGCTGACACTTAAGCGTGTTTTGAAGGAAAAATAAGCACTCAGGTACACTATTGCTCACTTTCCACTGGGGTTCGGAGGAAGCTATGATAGCTTCATTTCTTGACTCTTACTACTGACACACTAAGGAGAGAATTTTGTGATTGATTTACTGGGAATGGGATGATGACAGGAAAGTTGTTTGTTCTATGTCTCAATTTCAGAAGGATCTTCTCTGAAATAGTGCTGTTACTGAGGATTTTCTTTTTCTTTGCAGGCTGTGCCTTCCTAACATACTGCGAAAGGGAGTCTGCTCTAAAGGCCCAGAGCGCACTGCATGAACAGAAGACTCTGCCGGGGGTGAGTCCAGACTGATAACTTTTTTTTTTTTTTTTTTTTTAATCTAAAATGGATTGCATATGGTGCTCTCATCTCAGATTTGGAGGCATAAAGTCTCAGTTTGTTTGGATGATTTGTTATTTGCACTGTGTTAATAAAATCAATATACCACCAACCCACCCAAATGGTATCCATGCACAAAACTAAAAGCTTTTTTGACCTCATTGGCAGTCAGTAAAGCAGTAATCAGCTTATTGTGGACTGGGTTCTACCAGCCTTACTCAGCTGAGGAACTGCTTTAGGATTCTGACCACTACAGTGAAATGTTAGAAGTCCTCACCAGGTGCTTCCTCTCACTACTTTTCTTCTCTGTAGCAAGGTTTGGCAGCAAGAAATCAAGAAACAGATCACATTATTGAGTTATCACAGAATGAAAACATATTCCTGATGACAAAGTGGTTTGACTCAGTTACTTTAGTATTCAAGCAGCTGTAGCAGATTGGAAAGGCGGTGAGACAAGGAGAAAAGAGAGAGAGAGGAAAGACGCACACGAGATAATGAGGAAAATTATTCACATGAGCAAGATCTAAGGTTCAGACAACACAAGCAGAACTAAAAATAGAATCAGCATTATGTGGGGAAGACCTGCCCTGCTGGGCTGGGTTTCTAGTTAAGTGGTTGCCCGGGGGAGGGAGAGAGACAATTTAGATTCAGCCAGAGTACGTGGATTGGGAACAGCCAAGTGCTCCTGGAATGGGGCTGGTTTCACAAGGACCAGGAGCCAGTGATCACATAACCAGGAGTGGGCTTCCGAGGGCTCCAGGTTGCATCTAAACTGAGAGAAAATCTATCCAAAAGTCTGTCTTTATTAGGTGGTGTGGAATGATTGATTCCTGTGTAGCTATAACCTACCTTTCCACCAGATCTAAGACACATCCTTTGCCCTGTGTTCTGAGGAAAGTGTTGATTCTGCTCTGCTTGTTTCCATCATCCTGGCTCTATTTACCTATCTCTAAGCCACCTTGCCAGTATGGAGATGCCCACGCACTTGCTCATCTACATCTATCTTTGCTTAAAAGGCCATACCTTATGCAAATATATACATACTTCATTGCCTAAAAATATTTCTGTCAGCTGACAACTCCCTCTGAATTATCTTTTTTTTCTAGAATCTCCTCAGCAGCAGATTGAAAGTAACTTCAGTCTTGTGGGGGGGTTAAGTTTTTATTCCTCCTCCCCCTTCCAATGTTTTCCTTTTGCTTCTCTCTTTCCTGAATGATAAAACTGGATTAAAAAAAAAGAAAAGGAGAATATATTGGATAAGGAGGTCTCAGGTAACATTTTAACTGAAATTTTCTGAAATAAAACTTTCTTGAAATAAAATACGTATTTATCAAAACCAGAGATGTGATGCATAGGCTGTTGTGTATTTAAAAAAGACTAATTGAAATTCCAGATTTTCCACGGACACTGTTTGCTTTTCTCATTAGGAGCCAGATCATTCACTTGCATATGGAAGAATATTTTCTCTATGAGTTTAAAATCTCATCTTGAAATCGTATGATGATAATATCTTCAAAAAGACTGGGTCAGTGAAATTGAGGACTCAGGTGTTGAAGAGGGAGGGCAAGTGGTGACTTAGGATTTTTTTTTTCCTAAATTCTTTATCTGTTCACAGTTCTGAATCTCAATCTCTGTGTTAGAGACTTCAAATCACAAAAGTCTTAAAGTCAAAACTGTTTTCTTGGACAGTGATAAAATTCAACCATCTTTTGCTTTAGGATTAAAACTTCCTTCAAAAGCTGTGCTGAGTGATTCTAGACTACAGGGAAACAATTTCTTCCTTGGATTGTGTAATTTCTTTTATATATACTCCATACAGGCCACACTGCCTCTAGAAGGCTTTTTTTGTTGTTCTTGTATTTTTATACACTTTCAGGAGACACATCAGGATCTCATTGAACTGGGAACAGTGAATCTGCTATCTAAAAGGGCAACCAGGTTTCTTAGAGTTCTGAACACTGATTTTTTTGCCATCCTTTTCATTTTCATTTCTATTTGTCTCAGGATAAAGGTTTACTTTCCACTAGCAAACCCTCTTCATGCAGCTTTCTGCCAAGTTTCTGAACTCATCCTCTGAATGATGTCACTGTAGTTTATTTAAGGAAACCAGTCTTGTCTCTTGATAAAGTATCATGCCTGGATACTGTTTTATGGTTCCTATCTGAGTAACAGAGATTTATTTATGACTTACCTGACTGCTCTTGATAACATGCACCAAAAATATCAACCATAGTTCATCACCATAAAATAAGAGGCGCTTTTAAAGTCAGAGGTCTAAGTCCTTATTCACATAAGTTCACAAATGAGACATATATAATATCTTCTCTTGACACTCCACTCTGTGACACAAACAGCATGACTGAGAAGGCATCAAAAACAATTAATAGGCATGGTATAAGAAAAAATAAATAATACTAGATTAAGCCATTCTTTCCCATTCCCCAGTAAACTGTACAGTTTCTTGCTCTTGCTATATTGCTCTTTGCATTCTTTGTATTATTAAACGTAGAACTGAGTAATTTTTATAATATGCACATAAATGGTAATGTATGGAAATGGTGAGGCATGAGGAGGTTTTGTCCAGATTCAGATGCTTTGCCTCTCAGCTATGTATCACTTTGTTGTTAGTGGAGTGGCTACATGCACATATTTTACAGTAATTACTTTCTTGGTGTGCTTTGTGAGATGACAGAAATATGTTTCACATATTTCTATGTTATATGTAGGACATAAACTCATCTTGTGGAATAATCAAAAGACTTCCAAGCAGGTATGTGTTGATTAATAAAGTCTTTATGGCACTTTGTTTTTGGGTGGGAAGGAATCATGATAGATATTTTGAAGCAACTAGAATTGAATGTAAAGCACAAAACTATCAGTTGGATCTTCTTCATCTGAATGAGTAAATTAGTTTCTTTTGGAGAGTTTGAAATTGTTTTGCCTAAAATGGAAGGTTAATGTGGCACAGTGTGCATGTATGTGTAAAGAGCACTTTGTGATTGTTAGACAATTCAAATTCTAGTGTTTACTTGAGATTGTTTATTTTACATATAATAGAGTGGCTGGATGATGAAGTATATTAGTTCTTTAATAATTTATAGAAATGCTTTGATGTTGCAGTAATTACATTAAAGGTCACATATCAAAGGTAATTTGGTTGAGCAGCTGTGATGGTTTCTCAGAAGCAATCAATATTGCTGTCCATGGCGCTGATTTCACCAAGGGGACTGCCAGATTAAAGGAGGCTTATTACCAGACAGACAGACACGGGGGAAATCAAGAACAGATTGGAGAGATGCACTATTCTTTTTCCTCACCTATAATTAACACTGTTCACCATAATCTGTGCTAATCCTTCATAGTGGGAAACCACCTTTTTTTTTTTTTTTTTAAACTCGTGTTATAAAAAGCGAATTAAGGCAAGGGAGAGTAATTTGGGGGAGCAGGAGAGGGAAATTAGAGAAAGTAAAAGTTGATTCACCTCTGGGATTTCTGAGGCTGATATATGCCACAGTGATAAAATGCAATATCAAAACCACAGGCCATGGTCCCGAGGAAAGCAAGGTGGGGGGGGGGAAGTGATCTAGACAATGACAGTGCAACCTATGGGAGAATTATCTGCCTGCAGATTTTGTATAATATTATCTATTTGCCCCACAAAGCTCCACAGGAAATGAAATCAGGGAAATAAAATTATGTTTTAAGTGTAGTCATTTTGATTACAAATTATAGTGAACTGAACTTTTTCTCCCCTTTCTTTTTTCTTTCTCAAGTGAATGGCAGAGGATAATGCTGAGAAATGTAATTACGCTATCAAGATCTACTTTTATTTATAGCACAAATAAACTGAGCTCTTGTATGATAAGCACAGCAGCATTTTTCTTCCCCTAGTTCTTTGTAGCTCTCTCAGACAACGGGAGAGAACAGTCCATGTATACTTGGTTGGAGGCACTGTCTCTTTGCATAATGTTAAAACCTTCCTGTAAGACTTGCAAAGAATAACTATGAAATTAAGTATGTACGAAACTGTTAACCTCAGCAATCTGCAGGGCTTGTTCAGTCTGGGAAAGAGGCTGAGTTTTCTTACTGCATCTATTCCTCTTGAAAGAGACAGTGCTACTACTGGTATGCTAAATTTCTCAGTGCGTAACATAATTAGTTTTCTCCCTAACTGTTCTGATATTCTTTGTCTCTTCTTGCCATCTAGAAAAAATGCATTCTGTTTTATTCATTATATGCAAAAATATGCATCTTTAACATTAAAAGACAGGTGAGCTCATAAAACTCATATTAAACCCATTTTTTAAAGAAACAACCCCCCCCTCCAACTAATTACAGTTGCCCACAGTTTATTTTTTTTACTGGGTTTTTTTGTTTTTGTTTTATTGGGGTTTTTCTTGTTTTATTTTGGGTCTTGTTTGTTTGCTTGTTTATTTGTTTTAATAAAAAAGGTTTTCCAGTATTACTGGTCTTACCTGACTTAAATTTAAATGTATATGTGAGAAAAGACACTTGAGTATAGGGGAGAGGAGGGAGGGTACCTTGCAAGGTCTGGCATCTCTTAAATCCATGTAAAAAGGTTTAAATGAGACATAAGTGTCACGTGGACTGCACGTATAGCACGGATTTCACTGTTTAAGCAGACCTTGAAATTTTACTGTCTTATTGTCTTTTTTTTTTTTTTTTTAATGTTTCAAAGCTTTTTCCAAAGGCTTGTTAGAAAACCATTAAACCACATATCACCCTGCATGCTGTGTTGTGCCAAAAATGGTATTATATTCCCACAACTTCCCATTTCAAAAGTTTTTCTCTACTGATGTAAATTGCAATTTGGTCAGCAGTGGTAGGCTGGATGGGTTCCATTGATTAAAGTAGCCTGCTGAACACACAGCCTGCTCACCATGCCCTTTAGATTTTGAAAGAAAACACATTTAATTGTTCCCTTGGGAGAAACATGT